CTCATGTGTTGGGTCTGTAGAACAGAACTGACTGTTAATAAGGTCTAGAAGTACATGTCAATGCTTTAACACAACAATACCTATAATATAAAGAATAAGAGTAAAAAAAGCTTAAATAAGACAAATGCATAAGGGGGGAATCATTTTATCACAAAATACATTACATAAGATTCCAATCTTGACATGTTTAACATTCCATAATCAACATGGAGTCAATAGTTAGAGTCAAACTGAAATTAAGTATAACACACGTACAAAACCTACCGTAGATTCTATACAAATGACTATATTATAAGATCCATAAAGAATGAATATAAACAATTATTTCTTTTCTAATTTGATAATTTTATTAAGTTTGATTAAGGTGAGTTCTTCTCGACACAAGCTAATTAAAGTTGTTGATTCACTTGAATCATCCAGATTATGTCTCTTTATAGTAGGTGTGATTGGTTCTGGGTTATGCTTAGATGTAATTTCGAAATCTTGAAATTAGGAAATTTAGATTTAGAGTCAATATATTTTTGGGCAATGATAAAATAAGCACAATGTAGCATAAGTCATAACAATAACGTAACAATTTCCTATTCTTCAACAGCATGTGAATTAGCCTTATCAACACTCACTTTAATTTCAATAAAATCAAAAGAAAATTCATTTCATAATTGTTTAAACATTTAAACATTTAGACATATAAAATCAAATAGAAAAAATTACGCAGAGATACAATAACAATACCTGGAAGAGTTGTGGTGTTATAGCAATTTGAGATAGAGATTGATCAGCAGCAAGGTGATGAACCAAAGAAATATAATAATTAAAGTGGTGAATAAATACTTGGCTTTGTTCCCAGGGACCCTTAAGTTGTTTGATGACTGAGTCATCTTGAAGAATCATGACAACAAACAACTTTTCCACCGGAGTTGCCACTTCACTTTAAAAGAAATCTCCAAACCCAACAAAATATCAAGTGTTGATGGGAATTCAAGTGGATCATCAATTACAATCTAAATAAGCAAGTACCACCATTAGAAAACAGCGAAGTAGAAGAGCAGCAGATACACCCAATAACAACATTCTCAATCCCAGAAAACAAAGTTACAACATTTTCCAAAATGAACAATTTCAATTTCAATTTTATATCTAATGAAGCGCGATATTTAATGTTAATAAATGCTAAAGACTTCAGCTTCATTTGAATAACCAGCTGTCATATTCCAAATTTTCTCGCCCTTCATTTCTACAGTAAAAAATATTCTTAAACATTGTTTTTATAAATATTCCTTAATTTATATATATATTCACTTCCAAACTTATTTAAAAATATAATAATTTATTTCAAGATTATTTATATTTTTGAATAAACAAATATTTGTCCGTCTTCATGTACGTTCAACTGACTTTTTATTTTGAATAAGTAATATAACACAGTTGATAAAGAATGAAGTTTGCAAATATGGGGTTACAGGTTTGAATATTGTGTGTGACATTTTTAAACATTTTTTTCCTTATTTTTACTAATTTTCTTCCTTTTTTTTGGAGATAAAACTTTGGGCTTTCTTTTGGACTTTTGGATAATTTAGTCTCTAAGTCTTTTTGTTTAGTTCTAATTAGGGACACACAATTAATCCACAAATTCACAATTCATCCCGAATTTCTCACAACAACTTTTCACACATAATTAATCCACAATACAATTTTTCAGACACAATTGATCCACATATCCATAATCTATCAACAATTTCTTCAATTATTTTCTTTACATACTTATTTTTCAAAAACTTTTTCAAATTATTTTTGCAATTTTAACAAATGATTAAATATGAAGTCACCTTTTTCAATTTCATTTTTTTGATTTATTGTTATAACCACATGATGATCTCTGATGATTCTCTCTTCAAGTTTTTCATTGTATTTTATTTATTTTTTCTCATCGTTTGACTTATTTGTTAAAACATGATACATTGTTACACACAGTTCTTGATACACTAATTTTAACACAATTTTCAACACATAAAACCCCTTTTTAGTCAAACCAATTTTTTACAAGAAAGAAACAAAAAAGGACAAAATTTCTAAACTAATTTTGTGTAGAGAAGGGATTTGAATTGATGATTATGTGTTAATGTGGTAAACAATTACACGAATATATACAGCAAAGAATTGAGAAACCGAATGCTAATAATAAGGAGTGGAACTAACAATCAATACCTATTCCACTAACGTTACTGGCATGAAAGTAGGAAACTAATTACTGACCTATTCCACTAATGTTACTTGGCAGGAAAGTAGGAAACTAATTACTAACTACATATTACCCCCCAGCAAGCTGATGATTCGGAAGAACGCGAAGCTTGGAACGAAGAAAAGAAACTCTATCTTTGGAAAGTGGTTTGGTGAATATATCGGCTAGCTGATCAACGGATGATACGTGGCCAATTTTGAGAGTACCGGAATCAACCTGGTCACGAAGGAAGTGAAAATCTAGCGCAATATGCTTGGACCGTGTGCTGATAACTGGGTTCTTGGACAAGAAAATTGCACCAACATTGTCACAGAGAAGCAACGGAGGACCAGTAATAGGCACTTGAAGCTCAGAAGCAAGAAGATTGAGCCAAAGCAGTTCGGCGGTGGTGTATGCCAGGGATCGATATTCCGCCTCAGTGCTTGAGCGAGCAACAACCTTCTGTTTGCGAGAAGTCCAACTGATGAGATTAGATCCATGGAAGATTGCATATCCAAACTGAGAACAGCTGTCGTCCGAATCCGAGATCCAACCCGCGTCTGAATATGCTAAAAAAGAAGTTGCTTGAGTTGGACTGAAGTGGAGAGAGTGTGACAGAGTACCATCAAGATAGCAAAGTATTCTTTTGACAGCCCGCCAGTGATCAAGTGTCGGGGAATGCATAAATTGACAAACGCGATTCACCGCATACGTAATATCAGGCCGGGTGATTGTAGCGTACTGGAGAGAACTGACAGTGTGTATGTATAAGGATGGATCATCAAATGGTTCACCCGCCTTGACTAGACGATGTTGTGGGTCAGCAGGTGTTATTATAGGAGCAGCAGCAGACATGTTGGTGGACTCCAGAATATCTCTAACATAACCTTCTTGAGTGAGTTGTACCCCAGAACTAGTACGTGTGATTTGAAGACCGAGGAAATAATGCAAATCTCCCTGATCCTTTAAAGAAAACACCTTGTTAAGATTAATGATAAAGTTATTAATCAAACCTGAATCCGTGCCGGTAATGAGCAGATCGTCTACATATACAAGGATGTAGATTGTTGCAGCAGCAGAATGATGAACAAACAAGGATGTGTCGGATTGACAAGCCCGAAAGCCCTGTGTGATAAGGTAATGCTTAAGCTTGGTAAACCAAGCTCTGGGTGCTTGTTTGAGCCCGTAAAGAGCCTTCCGCAATTGACAGACATGATCAGGTTGATGAGAATCCTCAAAACCCTTTGGTTGACGCATATAGACAACCTCAGAGAGCTCACCATTCAAGAATGCATTGTTGATGTCCAACTGCCGAAGACACCATTGGTTGGATAAGGCAATGGACAAGACAAGTCGAATGGTTGTTGACTTAACCACTGGGCTGAACGTCTCAAAAAAGTCTTTACCTGCTTGCTGACTAAAACCTTGTGCTACCAAACGAGCTTTGTGACGCTCGATACTCCCGTCGGATTTGCGCTTTGTCCTGTAAATCCACTTACAACCCACAACATTAACATTAGTAGGACAAGGGACAAGAGACCAAGTACCATTTTTCACAAGGGCATTATATTCTACAGTCATGGCATCTTGCCAATGTTTATGTTTGACGGCTTGTTTGTATGTACGAGGATCAGGTTCAGGTTTAAGAGTGGCAGCTAGGATTTTTGGTTTGAGAGAGCCGGTTTGGGCTCGTGTGGTCATGGGGTGAGTGGAAGATTGGGCTGGTATGTAGTATGAAGGAACATGTTGTTAATGTTGTTGTGGGGCCGGCGGAGAAGTGGGATGAATTGTGAGTGAGGGCTGAATTGTTGGCTGAATTGTAGGTGCAGTTTGGAACGTGGCCGAAGGTGTGGGCAGCCCAGCAGCTTGCTCTAACAAATCAGAATTTAATTCCGGAGAAGCATGAGTAGATAAGTTAGACGCCGAATTATGTAAAGAAACAGAATATGGGAATATATGCTCATTAAAAACAACATGCCTTGCAACATATATACGCTCAGTAGGTTTATGAAAACAGAGATATCCTTTGTGAGAAGTACTGTAACCAATAAACACACATGGAAGAGAACGAAAATCAATTTTGTGGTTGTTATATGGACGAAGAAAAGGATAGCAAAGACATCCAAAGGTTTTGAGAAAACCATAATTTGGATCTTTGTGATATAATTATTGATATGGAGAATGGTAGTGTAAGGTGGGGGTAATGGTTCTATTGTGGAGATAAGTTGCAGTTTTGAAAGCATGTTCCCAAAATTCGTGAGGTAAAGATGATTGAGCTAAAAGAGTGAGGCCTTTTTCAATGATGATACGATTGCATCGTTCAACCGCCCCGTTTTGCTCTTATGTGTATGGACATGTAATACGGTGAGAAATACCGTGTTGTTTTAAAAAAATAGAGACATTGCGAAATTCACCCCCCCCCCCCCCAATCGGATTGAAGATGTTTGATTTTTGCATTGAATTGTGTTTCAATCATAGTACGAAATTGCACAAAAGTAGTGAAAACCTGTGATTTGTGCGATAGAAAATAAATCCACACATATTTGGTGCAATCATCAATAAACAAAACGAAATACCGATTTCCATTGATTGAAAATTTGGGAGATAGACCCCATACATCAGAGTAAATCAGTTCAAAAGGAGTAGACGACGCAATATGAGATGATGCTAAAGGAAATCGATGGCTCTTTCCAAGTTGACAAGAGTCACAGACATTGGGAAATTTATTTAAAGAAATTGGTAAATTAAATAAGGAAATAAGACGACGCAATAGAGGTTCATGAGGATGGGCAAGCCGCTGGTGCCAGCCGTGGACAGACGTACGGATGTCGGTGAGAGCCAGGGTTGGTCGAGCTTTATTGTGAATGGAGTTAATGCAGTAGAGGCCATTGTTAATGCCCCCTCGGAGTATAGTTGGACCCTGAAAGGTTTTGACAAGACAATGAGAAGGCCAAAATTCTATATAAACCTTATTATCCTTTGTAAATTTGGATACACTGAGAAGGCTTTTTGTGAGTTTAGGAACAATGAGAACATTAGGCAAGCGCAAATTATGTAAAGTAGAATTGCCAATGTGAGAAATAGATAAAAGGTTACCATTGCCCACTTGCAGCTTGTTGCCTTTGTAGTCATCAGAGATGGTCAGCTTCTGAAAATCTGGAGAAGCATGATCAGTGGCACCGGTGTCGAAATACCAAGAAGGATCGATGGCACTTGAAGACGGAGCCTGAGAAGCATAATGAGCCTGCTTTGATGTATTGCGTGGGTTGGGCTTGCGCGAGGGAAAATCAATCTGATTATCACGCTGCCAAAAATCAACAGCCTCGTGACCTGGACGCCCACATAATTGGCACCGGGGGCGGCGACGACGGAACTCACCACCGTTTGCTGCACGAGTGTCGCCTCTAGAGTCACTCCTGGAATCCCCGCGAGAATAGGCGCTGAAATTCTGGCTACAGATACTCAATGTCACGTTTAATGTTATGACACCGTATCTGACTTTCTATAAGACAGTAAATACAAAAACAGTAAAGAACACAGTCAATTATTTACCCAGTTCAGTGTGCAACAACACCTACTCTGGGGGCTACCAAGCCAGGGAGGAAATCCACTATAAGAGATGTTAATTCAGGAATAAACCAACCAGTTTATCTCCTTCACTTAAGACCTACCCAATGCAATTTCAATCTAAGTACAACTTAAACCTGAGTTCCTACTCACTCCCCCTCAATCACAGCAGTGATACATAAAACAATTTGACTAATGAATTGATGAAGACACTCTTCAAAAACATACACTTGATTAAGCTTCACAGCTTTTTAATCAAGCAACACAACCACTCTTGCTTCACAGCTTTGAGTGATGCACACAACTAACTTGACTCTGCTTCACAGCTTTAGTCAAGAAACATTCAAACACTCTTGCTTCAAAGCTTTGAGTGCTACACAACCCTTACAATTAAAAACCTATTCCAAGTCACTTATCACAATGATAATTGCTTGGAGTACAATAATCAAACCTATACAGTTTACAAATGATCTTCTGATCACCAAGGGATTACTTGCAAAACAGCAGCTCTGTTGAATATATAGCAGCTGCAACTTCAGTTAGGGTTTCCACAAAAACCTAGGGTTAATTCCGTTTGACCTTAAGACTAGGTCACAAGACTCTTTTAACCAGGTTAGGGTTGAGCTAGGATAACCCAAAGAAAACGCAGGATTCTGTTCTGGAAAGACTGAGTTATTTTCCTGAAAAAACTCAGAATTAACCAACCTGCATACTTGTTAGTTCAGAACAGGATGTCTTAACATCTGTTATGAGAAAACCTGTCTACTGATTTAGCAAAATGTGATCATTTTGCAAAATGCTCAGATACACACTTATAAACATCAGTACCTGAATGACAATATTTTTCTGCAAAGGTACCTAATGAATCAGTACAAACTAAACTAGAATGTTATGACATCAGTCATGACATTCACACATACACACTTGGGTTTTACCAAAAATGCAAGCCAATAACTAAACAACTACAAACTCCCCCTTTGGCAGATTTTTGGCTAAAGACCCTAAGCAATCAGAGATAGATAGCAGCAGAAATAGAATTTTTTTTATTAATAACCAAGTATTAAAAAAATATTTCGCAAAAAACCGGGTTTCGGAAAAAATTACGCAAATAACCATGTTTGAGATGGCTCCATAAAGGAGGAGCCATCTCATTTGGCGCATCCTCCTATTTTTATAAGGGAGGCGCCATCTCATTTGGCGCCTAAGGGCAAATGGCAAGCCCTAAGCCAAATGAGATGGCGCCTATGAGGAAAATTAGGTCAAAAAAAAATATTTTTTTTTCCTTTCCTGCGCGTTGCGTATTAGACAGAGATAACCAAAATTGATTTTTTATTTGAAAAAAAATAATTACATTCAACTGTTTTACATTTAAATAACAGTAAAAAAATAGATACAAAAAATACTGAAAAAAAAAAAGATACATCAATGATCCCCAGGAACCCGGTAATGACCCCCAGTTCCGCATCCCCGTCCTCGCCTTTCTCTTGCTGGGTGCCGTCTCGTTTCCTGTTGCGGCAAGGTCGATGGCCCAGCGAAGTCAATGCGATCCGAATCCATAAAATCAGTAAGATCTCCATATCTCGAAGATCCGCTCTGGTACAGTCGGTTACCCATGCCCTCGAAGTTTGGTCGTGTTGGCGGTGGGTGGGGTTCCATGGTTGGTCGGTAGCATTGGTCGTCTGAGTATGGGGGGTAGAAAGGAAATGGATCTTGGGGTGTTTGGTACTGTGGATGTTGGGTTGTTTGGTGATATGGTGGTTGATGGTAGGTTTGGTCGGGTTGGTCGTAATCTTCTGACATTCCCATATCAGGGCTAAGGCTGGATGTTGAGGGCCCCATATTGGGATATGTGGAAGACTGAAATTGTGTATGGGGTATGTGGGTTTGCTGGTATTGGGGTTGGTATTGTGGTTGGGTTTGAGGCATATCTGGGTATTGGTAGTTTGGCGGTGACTGTGGTTGGTAGTACGGCATTTGGTTGTAGTTGTGTTGTGGTGGGGAATGTGGTTGTGTGTTTGTTGGTCTGTTTCTTCTTGGGGGTGGGTTTGAGGTTGAAGGATTTTGGGTTTGTTGGTGGGGAATCGAGGGTTGTACCCATTGTGTGCGTGGGTCAACCAAGTACCTCGGATGAGACACGTGCATATCTGGGTTACTAACCGACCTGTACCACGACATATATTGATCGGTGTGTCGCATGTTACCTTGAGTAAGGAAAACAGGGGATTGCAAGATGTAGCGGTGACGCCTTTGCCACATTTTACACCATTCTGGAGCAAAGTCTTTCCAGTTGGTTAGATTCCACTGGGCGTCGACCCTTTTTAGATGCCAGGGGGACAAATCTGTTGGGTCACTTGGTATCTCTTGGATCATTCCGAACTGCATCTTCACGCGGTCGCTGTGGTGCATCTCCACAATGTTGAACCGAATGAGTGCAGTCTTTGCAGTCCAAGTTGCTGCATCCTCTGGATTTGGAGAATGGTCCAAACCCAAATATGGTCTCCAGACGAACTACGATAAAATTTAAATCAGGTAAGCGCAAAAGTAATGTATAAATAAATAAAATGAACAAAAGTTAAAAGCTACGACTTACGTCATCTGGGCCTAGGTGATCCAACAGATTCCGGTAGAGTGCGACATTGAATCTGGGATTCTTGCCGTAATCCATACCCCTCACGCAGTACCTATAGGAAATGAGAAACATGTTATTTTTAGCATATATTTTGGAAAGAGAAGAATAGTTTTAAATGCTATAACTTAATGACTTACTTTGTTGCGTAAGGGAAACCAAAAGTGTTGTTGTTGATGGGGTTTAAGGACTCCATCCTCCACCAACCCCAGGCTTGTAGTAAAAATGCGCACCCATAAAATGTACATTTTTCCTTGACTGCGTTTTTGCACAAGGAACTGTACAGGTGGGCTAATACTGCAGAACCCCAACTAAATTTTCTAGTTTTATCAAAATTGGTTAGTAAATGTAAGTACATGAAATTTACACTATTTCCCGTACTTTCGGGAAATAAAAAAGTACCAAAAAGTATCATAATATACGTTCGGGCTTTTACTACTCGGTCATTTTCTGAGGAATTTTCATTTAATTCCATACTTGCATAATGCCGTTTCAGGTCAGTGAGTAGTATTCCCTGCCCTCTTGCTCCACCACCTTCTACCATGTCCCTACCCAACAGTTCTTCACACTGTGAGTTGGGTTGTTGAACCGACCCGTTCACCGCTTTACCGTCAATAGGGAGGCCCAGTAGCATGTAGACATCTTCGAGAGTGATGGTACATTCACCTATTGGTAGGTGAAATGTATGGGTCTCCGGTCTCCACCTCTCCAACATTGCAAGGATGAATTTGGAGTCAATGGTGCAGTTGGAGATCTTTATCACGTGTCCAAAACCTGCATATTCCAGATAAGGGACGATAAAAGGGTCGGGGGCCAGGTATTTGTGCGAACGGATTCTGAATCTTTGTGTATCCTGAGATCATAATTAAACAAGAGTAAGATTAATTAAGATGAACAACACGTTTTTTAAAGTATGAAAAATGTATAACCAAAGAAGAGACTTACAAATGCAGCAATGTTTTCCCTTGTGCCTCTGTGAGTATCTCCCATTGTTAGAAGGGCCATTCTTCAGAACGCTTGAGTGAATGAAAGACTTAGGAAGAAATAAGGAGTATGATAGACTTAAGAAATATTTCGTAGCAGAGAGTGAGAGAGTGAGAGTTGTGTGGGTGTGAGATATGTTTCATAAGGTATGTATTTATAGGCAACTAATTCTGATGTAGTGGTTGCATGCATGCGAGGTGTCACATTTGCATGCTTAGGGAGTTACACATATGCATGCATGCATTTACAAATAATGTAAGGTGTCACTCTTGCAGGCTAGGTGGCAGCCTTTGGGATGCCTTTCTCTGTTGCATGCAAGGCCATTGGAGCTGACGGGTGGCAGGCTTAGACAAAACATTAATGTGTGTATTATAGGGCCAGGCTAGGTGGCAGCATAAGCCCATGCATGTAATACGATTGGACAGTAAGGGAGGCGCCATCTCACTTGGCGAAATAGTACAAAAATGAATGTTGTCGCCACCCCATTTGGCGAATAAGAGGTGTCACGTTTTACAGCATTGTCTCAGGCTACGTGACAGCCTTTGGGATTCCTTTCTCTGTTGCATGCAAGGCCATTGGAGCTGACGGGTGGCAGGCATAGACAAAACTTTTATGTGTGAAGAATAGGGCCGGGCTAGGTGGCAGCATAAGCCCATGCATGTAATATTATTGGACAGTAAGGGAGGCGCCATCTCACTTGGCGAAATAGTACAAAAATGAATGTTGTCGCCACCCCATTTGGCGAATAAGAGGTGTCACGTTTTACAGCATTGTCTCAGGCTACGTGACAGCCTTTGGGATTCCTTTCTCTGTTGCATGCAAGGCTATTGGAGTAGACGGGTGGCAGGCATAGACAAAACTTTTATGTGTGAAGAATAGGGCCAGGCTAGGTGGCAGCATAAGCCCATGCATGTAATATTATTGGACAGTAAGGGAGGCGCCATCTCACTTGGCGAAATAGTACAAAAATGAATGTTGTCGCCACCCCATTTGGCGAATAAGAGGTGTCACGTTTTACAGCATTGTCTCAGGCTACGTGACAGCCTTTGGGATTCCTTTCTCTGTTGCATGCAAGGCTATTGGAGTAGACGGGTGGCAGGCTTAGACAAAACTTTTATGTGTGAAGAATAGGGCCAGGCTAGGTGGCAGCATAAGCCCATGCATGTAATACGATTGGCAGCCTTGGGGGGTTGCATCACTTACTTAATTGAAATATTTTGCCTTAGGTTGA